TGGGAGTTGAAGTCCACTCATCTTAAAGTGGCCAAGTTTGGACAACACTGCTTTAGGGTTTAACCCAGGCTGTTTTGGTGAAAGTCAGACTCTATAACCATTGCTCCATATTGGAGTTCTCTGAGAGAAAATATGGATTGCTGGTTGTGATACGTAGGCAGCAATCTGTCTCTTTACTTTCTCTTTCCTACTTTGCTCATGCAGTTTATCTTTTTCAGAAAAATGCATAATATAAAAAAGAATAAATTGTGGAAGTCATTGCAGACATATCACTTAATATCTTAATATGCCTCTTATCAATTTGCCTCAGGAGATCATAATATTCCTCTTAAGTACTCTGTTAAGCATTAGATTTTAACCAATATATTTTTGCTTGTATCTGTTTTTCAGAATCAAGGGAGGAGTAAAAAATATACATGTACTAAATAATCTCATTAGTTTTCTTCCTTAGATAACTATGTTTTCTGAGTCAAAGGCCAGTGTACGTAATATGTGCACTTCCTTCATTCAGTAATGTTGAACTCCAGACATATACTGCCTTCTGGCTATTTAATGCTTCCTTGTTTTTTTATTTCAATGTTTTTTTTTCTTTTGGGGAAACAAAAGAAGCCAGACTACAAGAACTGGAAACTGCAGAGTAGAAATATTCTTTAAATAGGGCCAATATGTTGGCATCCAGCATCCAAGGGCATGTGGTGAGTTTCAGGATCCTTACAAGGGCCTCTGTTTATACTATTCTTTCTCTCCCTTTTATAAAAATATTCAACTTAACACTCTGAGCCACTAGAACTATCTGCCACTGAAATTTCCCACCATGCCCCCCAGAACTGCTCAGTGTAGCTGTCTTCCACAGCAATAACTTGCCCGATGGCATCAGCAATGGCTTCGCTATTGCTCTTGTATTTCAGGAAGGACACCTGAATCTGAAGAGACAGAGCAGCAGCTCACCAGATGGGAGAAGGTCTACAGTTGGGAGTGAAGCAGAGGACTCCTTGATGTCTCATTCCATGAGGCGTATTGCAGCTGGAGGCTGCAATTTAAAGAGGTAGCTTAAGGAGTCCCTGTGAGGTCAGGGCAAATGTGCTGGATTAGGACTACTTAGAGAGAACAGGTCCACCCTCAACCACAGAAACCCACTGGATGACTTTGGAACCATCATTCTCTATCAGCCTAACCTATTTTATGGGGTGGTGGTTGTAGAATAAAATGAAGGGAGACCCCTTCCGGATGGAAAGAGAGGCTTCAAATCTAAGCAATACATAATAAGACCAGAGCTTCCAGGCACTCAGGCTAGGGCTAGGCAGAGCAGTTATAAGAACTTGGCAGCTGCTCTAGTATTTAAATGCTTTCAGGGCTTAAATACCAGTTGCAGAAAATATCCTATCCCAAAAAGGCTGTTGCTCCCAAAGAGCTCTTCCAAGTAACTTACCCTCCTCTACTCCTTTTGGGAGGAAGGAGGTCTTCCAGAATATGGCACTGGGCAACTTGACTCTCCACACACTGATTTAGATTTGCAACTTACTCTGTACCACTGGCATTTTAAGACAGTAAACGTTGCTTCAGATACATCAATGTTTTACTGTTTTGTGCCTCCAAGGTTGGTCTGTGCTCTCACTGGAGAATTTTCAGCTCCTAGTCTCCTGTCGTAGCAACATGCTGACATGGCTGGAAAAGATTCCCAAAGGCAGAACTGCTGCTAGGCCAGCATTACAGATCATAGGGGTTCAGGAGGTAACATAGGCTTGCTGTCATAGAGAGTGGCAAACTTTCCGAGTGTTTAATGTATTTGTGTATATTTTAAACATATTTTTAATACTTTAATGCATCCTGTTAATATAGTGTATGATTTGGGATGGTTCATAAAAACAGGAAAGAACAGAAAAGCAACAGCATTATGTAAAGAAAGTTTGATGTCTGGGCACAGCCAAAGAATAAAATGTTACTCATTAATGCAGCTTCCATTAGTGTTTCTTAGTAATATTTTTTTCATTCATTCTCCAGACCTACAGAAGCCTTTGTTTCAATTCAGTTGGAGAAACAGGGTCCACGTGACTTGATGCTAAATACATTCATTCAGAAGAAGCAAATCTTGGGAAGTAGAATACAAAATCCTGTAAGTGTACCTCAAATTATTTAGGAATTAACCAGTGTTTGGTTATTATTTTTAAAGGATTTTCTGTCAACCTTACTGTAACAATTTGGCTTCAGGCTTTTGAATATTTTTTGTCATATTTTAAAATATGAAATATATCTTAGATATATTTAGTCATGTTTTGTGAGATGGGCAGCCATGTAAATATGATTGATAAATAAATAAATATTTAAAAAGAAATAAGTCTTGTAATCAGCGCAAATGAGAACAAGAATGTGTATATGTATTAAACAAATAATAGAGGACTAAAGTCTTATGAATACTTGGAGAAAACATAATTATGATTGCTTCTTTAATTGTTACCATAAAAAAAGGAAGTGGTTGTCCTTTAGATATTTTTCCCCATCATACCTTTCTGTGTTTGTGTACATGTTTG